TGTAAGCCATAATCATCACAATTATGACAAATCACGGCTTGAACTATCTTGCTTTGCATGTAATGAGTCTATCTCATATATTAGTTTCACCTTTTAAGTTGCATTACTGGAATAAATGAACTATTTATTTATATAACTATTTATAAATATGGGCAGAACATAAGTTACATTGGAGGATGAATAGGTCAATCTAAATGTAATGCATATATTCATAATCAGGAATTTACAAATTCACAAATTTCATGTCATAGATTTCAGCTGAAGAGAAAAGGCTATCAGGTACACTATTGGGTCATTCAATGTTAAGTGGTCTGGGGCTCCCTGCTCAACCATCACGGATATTGACGAAATTTGGTGTGAACATGCACACACGTCCCCAATGACCATTGGTAAAGTGTTACGTGTGACGATGCAATAGTTGTGGGGATATAGTCATTTCTTTGACCCCATACTGCAGCCTTCTACAGTATGACTCTGAGGGTTCAGCAACTTTGAGACATAATATCTCTGGCAATATTTTGTTGAGAGAAACAAAACCTGGCCATCTTGTACAACTTGTTGTGCTCTATTAAACAAAATAATAAAAACATTCTTATGAGCGACCTCCATCTAGATAATGTGGAGCAAAGGTGGCCGAAATGACTGTGGCTCGAAAAAGGTTGGCCAAGTTTTGTGTCTCTCAACAAAATATTGCCAGAGATATTATGTCTCAAAGTTGCTGGAACCTCAGGGTCATACTATAGAAGGCTGTGGTATGGGGTCAAACAAATCACTATGTCTCAGCAAGTATTGCATCGGCAAACATAACACTTTACCAATGCTCATTGGGGATGTGTGTGCATGTTCACACAAAATTTCATCGAAATCCGTGGTGGTCGAGCTGAGCACTTTTCTGAAATCGGACCACTTGACATGGAATGACCCTATTGTCATTTACTTTTCACATGGAAAATCAAAATAACTAGGGAGTAAAAACCAGGATTATTTTTTTAAAAGATCCCACTATCCTTGGGCTTACTCACAATTTGTTTTTCTGTATATTTGTTGGAGCTGAGCAAATTGACGGCCTCCATGTGCCCGAAGTCGATGTCATGGCCCAACAGGAAGATGAAAAGCAGCTTGCAGACATATTTCTTCTTGCTGTAACCATCCAAGGCTTTATCTCCTGAGAGGAGAGAGTGACAGGTGGAAAGTGGGGCAAGAAGTTCACTTGACCTGCTGGAAGGACAGAAGCATCTGCAAGGCAGCCGAGAGGAAAGCTACAACAGAACCCTTGATTGATTGATTTTGATTGATTGATTTTATTATATTTATATGCCGCCCTTTTCCCCCGAAGGGGACTCAGGGCGGCTCACAATTCAAAT